TATCGGCCATTGTGAATTTCATACACAGGTATATGATGAACTTCTATACTGTGATATAGGGCTATTGAATTACTTGCGCACCAAATTTTATTGTGATTATCGTGCAAAGTAGTTACACAATTTGTACGGGCTTGGTATTTGATTCATATTTTAATAATGATCAAAAGTATGTTTAGATTTTTAAGTTGAAAAACTGAACTTATCTGCGTTAAATCTTCCACAAATCCTATATTTAGACACAATTACACTAGTGTTTATCACTTTATATCTGTAATGTCGAACTGAAACATAATTAATTAATTTTCAATACAGGAATATATTTTTGCCCAATATGGCGGGTATGTATAATCATGGCATCGTCCATGTTGTCTTTGGTTTATTAGAATATTTTGGTGTTGTCTGAAAGTGTTATACAACAATTTGACAAATCTCTAAAATGAAATACGGACAGAGTCATTTCATCATCAAACCTTTTAAACCAATATGCATGTCTTAAAATATTGGTTATGGCAAAAAGGTGACAGCAAAAAGTTAGGTTATGGTGGTTGTATGTTACCAGCATATTTAGCAATAAATGTCTGCCGATCACAGCTATAAAAGTTGTAATATTGTTGCAGATGTACAGCCTTTAACAGTTACTAAACGACAGTTGTATAAGTGCCTCCGTCGGGAGAAATTTGTTGGCTAAAGTAGTAAATACAACAAGGCTCAGGTTTGTTGTATAAACGTTACCATGGATGCAAGAACACAACTATTTTCACTACGGCGCAAATATGCCGTATAAAATAGTTGTATAAACGTTTATGGAACCGTTCAAAATTTGTCCTATAAAGTGTTGTATAACTATGCTATAAGAATATTTTAAACACCTCATTTTAGAGCAAATATGCTGCAGAAAGCAAATTTGCATTCCTCACAACATTAAGCCAGCATTTTGGTGTTCAGGCAACAACAATAGAGAGCTTTTACGGCTGAACAGTTCTTTTACCAAAAGCTTATAGCACTACTTTGCTAGTTGGGCATGAAAGCGGAAAATTTTCAAAATTCCTATTTCACGGGCTGTAGACCAATCTTGAAGAATTTTGACGTTGGATAGCACATTAAAGCTTTATTCTTTTTAGTTACTGTAGTTTCGTTTTTGTATTTTTCAAAAATGATGTCTATCAACGAGGATGGTATGAGAGACACATGTCTCAGATAGGTTTAAAAACCCTGATTGTCTCGGTTGCCCAATTATTTACATCATACCAATGATTCCTAACAAGGATAAAATTTCTCCGTATTCCGTATACACAAACAAGGGTAAACAACACCCTAGCTATATTGGACTGCTACCGCTAGATGGATACGAAGTAAACAGTTGACTTTTTGTATAAAACTTGACGCCAACTACAATCTCCAGGAGACGTTTTGTTTGCCCTTCTCGAATGTACACTCAGGGGAAAAATAAACGCAACAACAAAATCGGAAAATTGTAGTAAAAATTCGAAACGTCATAAGTGTTTTATTTATCAACTTCATCTGGATGATTTATTCTGCAGGCAACACATACACTCATTGGCTTTAATTTGCGTATTTAATCTCTTGATGATGGCCACCGTTTGGCTTGTTGGACAGGATAAACCAAAATGATGTTTCATTTCCCCAACTTAGAATCACTCGGTGGTGTGACTTCATTAACCAATCAGGTCGCGATGTTCTCCCTATCAAGAACCATAGTTTCTCTATAAATTTATTATTTATTCACGTCAATGTGTGCAGCGGTTGATGTTCGAAGTCAAATAAACTTGTAACCACCAATTTGCATTCCTCCTTTTTTTTTTTAAATTGTTCATGAAATTCATAACTTTTCCATATTACGCCCAAGTTAACCTTATATCATCGTTCCGTTTTCATACTGAGTGCTTTATTTTTGAGTTCAAATCAGTTTTACAGAAGATTATTCTTTTGAAGCAGAATGAATCTAACCCAAATATTAGTCGGTATTATACTCTTTAGTCACTTTTGTTTGAACTCATATGGTAATTGGAGAAATGGCGTCATGTAGGTTTTTCCCGCACTTCGATCGAGAAAGCGTCATCAGTTAATCAAGGATTTTGTTCAGCACAAGTTAGAAAAAAAAAATTCAGTTTCGAACACGTACATTACAGAAATCAAATGGAGCAAGTCGGTCAAACAAGACAATAGATTTAGTCTATAGACATCCTTTCTCTGCCCTACTGGTAGTACCGTACATCTGGTAACGTCGCCCCTCCCGCAGAGACGCCTATCGAAAACCTATATCATTCTGTTTTAAGGGGAAATTTACGTGGAAATATGTGGAGTGTGAAATATTTCCAGTAGGTACATTACCGAGGTTTGGAGCATACACATACACTTACAAGAAATTGAGATATACCCTCTCCTACCCCTTACAATCCCAATTTTTGATCTATACATTTTTTCTGAAAGTGATCAGGAGCTTTTGAAGCATCAAAGAACCAAGTCTGAGCGACAATAATTTTTTTAATGGTTTTTTGCCACCAGCATCAAAATCCGAGTGGTACTTTCCAGACAGACGGACCGTCAGAAATGAGTGACATGGTTTTTCGTAATGTACATGAATAACATTCAAAAAGATAATATCTCATTTTCGATTTTTTCGCGATTACAATACATCCTCGCTACCAGGCGTGGGAAGTAAACTTATGAAGGGAAGAAAGCAAATAACAGATTATAGAGAAAATACGGTCTTGATAGCGCAAAGAATTGCGCTCTGATTGGATAATGAAGTCACGGCAAAGGATGATTCAAAGTTGGGGTAATTTAAATATAATTTTGACTTACCCTGTACAACAAATCAAACGGTGGCCATCGTCAATAAATTTAAATATGAAAATCAAAGTCCAATGATTGTACTAATTGTCTGCCCTAAAAATCCATCATGATCATAATGGGGTTTCGAATTAATAAGATATGACTTTCCGAATTTGGCCAACATTTTGCGTGTTGCGTTTATTTTGCTCCTGAGTCTATATTAAAGCAGCGTGCCTTTCTAGAACTCACGCTGGGTAACCATTTCACGCTCTGAAAACTGAATACTTTAGTTCCATATGTCTGTATTGTATAAAGCACCATTATTCCAAAAACTCCGTACTGCCGTAAAATGACAATCAAGGAGCTTATTGTTATTTCATGTAAAATAAAAATAAAACCACAATGTAGAGTTTAAATTAACCGTCATTCCATCAATGCTGTTTCTAAAGGAGATTAGCCGCAGGTAAAAAAATACTCAACGGAAAAAATTAATTGAGACGTAATTAAAGTACCAGAGACTGGCAAACGCCCCCCCCCCCCCAACATTTTTTACTGTGCCTTTCTCTTTACACCATTTCGTACTCATCACATTTCGTATTAGTGAAATGATACCCTCATTATAATTATTGTCAGCCTAGTATTCGAGCTGCTTGGAGTCTAAAGCATTGAGGATGAAAACTACGACGTAAAATTAAGCTGACGGTTCAAGAAATGAATTTTTCGAAACCAAACTAATAAACACAAGTGCGTCCACTGATCGGCACGGGTGTTACGTATCTTGAAAAAAGACATGTTGTCGTTTTTTTTAACATTTGGTAGGATTTTTTATGCAAGATGTTAACTTAGCACAAGCTGTTGTGCACTTGAAGCTGTCGTTTTGCAGCTGTACGTGTTGCCTAAGCGTCAGCGAACAGCGATCATAGCGATCAAACGTGAAATGAACTATTTGTACACTAAAAACTACTTAGTCTGCAAGATGACATTTTGTTGGTTCTTTTTTACGTTTTTTTATATAATATCCCTGCGGCATGTATGACACCATCAGCGATCCGAATAGGATTATTGAAACAATCACCTCACTAATTAACTTCTGATGGTGCGTGCATTCAAAACTGAAATGCGTCAAACTTTATGGCAAAAAAATTAAGGATACAACAAACGAATCCTACACTGGTGACCACGGAGACACTAAAGGAAAAGAGGAAGACCACGGATGAGATGGATGAACGACCTTAACAGGATGATAGGAAATAGAGACCAATGGAATATAGCAAGAACAACTTATCCAAGAATGGATGTTGAACATTGATGCAATAGATAGATCGTTCACTGTTTGACATCAGTTTTTCAGTACCATTCGGATTATCGTCTAAAATTCGCGCAACTGCACTGAAAAGCGTGGTCATTTAAACAGTTTTTCTGATAAATTTTCAATACCTGTCATGAATTTTTAAATTATTCTAAGTAACTAAATTATTCGATTCAATGAAAATGAATTTCTGGAACCAGTTTAATTGAGAGTAATATACTATTAAACTAATTTTCTTGAAAACAACAAACCATGCACACCATTATGGAACAGTTTAATCAGCTTAGGTAATTTAGTTTATGTAGAAAAGGAACACCACAAACAATAAACATTTTAATAAAACCAGCTGAACTGTAATTTAGGTTTGTCGGGCTGTTGAGCCATAGTCGGGTTAGATTTGGTCCAGAGCTTTCGTCTACATCTGCGGTAGCCATGTTCAGTGGCGCTGTCGGCGAGAGCGAAGTGCTCGGCTTGGCGGGTCGACTGAAACTGATCGGTTAACTGTAGATTTCAATTGCTTCTCTGAACATTCGGGCTGAGTAGTGCGCGGATGTTCATAAGACTTCAGTTTGGTCGAACAGAACATTGTGGCCGTCTTGGATTGCGTGTTTGGCCACCGCTGATTTATCAGTTTGTCCCAGTCGACAGTTTCTTTCATGCTCCTTGATGCGTGTTTGGAAGCTACGTTTAGTGGTGCCTACTTTACCACAGAAACACGGTATTCTGTATAGTTTCGAGTAAGTACAACATAATTGATATTATAGGTGTCCGAGAAAAAAGAGGAACATTATGATGATCGTAAACTACTTTTACATATTACAAATAATAAGTCCTTCATTAAAGTGTATCATTCACAAGTTTCTTCTACGTGGACATACACACATGGAAGCTGATCATATCCATACACTTATACAGACATATTCCAAGAGGACTACCAGATGGTGAAGATGAATAGATCCTCTAGAAAACCGATAGGGTTACCACTAGAACTATGTTCTCTGCGTCAAACCCCAAAAGGACTTAGCAAGAAAAAGCACGATCATCTTCTCATGTTTCTGCAATGGATACCAGAAGCATTACATGATTTTTATAAAAATATTCCTGTGCTGGGTCAACAAGGAGATGATGCCGACGACGACGATTGAATATATATTCTCCAGATGTCATTTTTTGTAATAATAAAATGGATTTTATTATCATAGTAAATAGTCGTAACTCACAAAATAATCTGAATATCAAATTCTAAAATCATTAGCATGAAGCATTACTGTTCTGTGTACCATATAATATGTTTCCCCAAGAAACTATATTCGTATATTAACAGTAACATGAACAAAAAGCCATTCTGCTACTAACTCAATCTTTAATTTGCTTGTTCTCTGAATTGCATTATATGGAGTTACAACTATATACCTCCAAGGCACAGATATATAGGTATATTTATTTATTTATAGCTTTTATTGCCCAACAGATAATACTCCATTTATAGGCCAAAATTTTAATTAGAAATATTACAAAAGGATAACTTATAAAACTATCTAAGGCGCTTCCGCAAAACACATTTCAGCTCCGAAATAGAACATAAGAATATGTCACAAAACTTACAAATACCATTATAATTCAAACACATAACCCTTTCAGGTGATTTCAAAATCAAGTTTGTGTTAGCACGACTGCAAAAGAAAGTAACATTACATCTTGAAACGGATCTTGGCGTTAAAAACTGTAGTTGTGATAACAATTCCGAAGAAACTATAGTTCCATGCAACAGTTTAAGCACAAAAATAACAGAACTGTGCTTCCTTCTCACATTCAAAGACGTCATTTTAAATCTGTCTAACAGAATTTGATAGTCCGACCCACGTTGAGGGTAAACTCTATCGCACTTAAAACCTAGATATTTAAGAAACTTTTTTTGAACATAATCTATCCTATTTATATAACAGTTATAGTAGGGATTCTATATTAGAGATGTATACTCTAACTTGGATCTTGTATAAGCATAATACAAGGTTTTTAGTACTGTCAAATTATTGATTAGCTTACAGTTTCTGATGAGAAAACCTAAGACCCGATTAGCATTATTCACAATATTATCTATATGACAGTCAAAACTAAGCCTAGTGTCAAACATAACACCCAAATCACGAATAGTGTCAACTCGAGTGACCTCAATTCCTCCAATACTGTATGCATATTCTATTTTACGTAGCTTCTGGGATAAAGTAAGTACCTTGCATTTAGCAATACTCAAATACAACCTATTGCGTTTGTAAATACTCACAATCCCTTTCACTATTAATATTAACATACAGTGTCAAATCATCAGCAAATAACAGTTTACCACAATCAATATAATCACATACATCATTCACAAAGATCAAAAGTAATAAGGGGCCCAGGTTAGAACCTTGTGGCACCCCAGATGAGGAATTGTATCGAAACGATTCGAAACCATTGTAAGAAATGTACAGCTGGCGATTCCACAAGTAAGACATTAATAACAATATTGATTTGTCAGTAAAACCAAATGAACCTAGCTTAGCAATGAGCACCCCATGTTCAACCTTATCGAAGGCTTTAGAAAAGTCAGTGTAAACTGCATCCAACTGTCCCTGATTATCTAGGACATTCGAGGCTAACTGAGTGAATACTGTCAGATTGGTGACAGTTGACTTGCCACACATGAACCCATACTGGAACTCAGATATTTGACTATAGGTGGAAAGGTAGATCCGGTTGTAAAGAATTCTATGATGAGGTCACAATCTTTGAAAATCAAAAATGCCCAATTTTTTAGGAGACAAAAATCGGATTTTTCATTTTGATTGGAAAACATAATTTCCATCAGACGTGTAACGATAGTATGGATCATTCAGTGAAATACAATCTCTTTTTTAACACTTATATCGAAACATTTTTGCATTCAAATAAAATTATTGATTACAACTAGGTAAATAGTTTACTTGTACACGTATTTAATAGGTACAACTGAACAGTATACTAGCAGCAGGTTACCTCATTTTGATAGTTATTTGATCCAAAATAAAGTAAGTAAATATTATAATATATTTACTTAGACGGTTTTGATTTAAATTTAATTAAACTAGTTTATTTATATATAGTGAATCATTTCTTAGTGGACCAGTGTCACAGATTCATTTCAACTGTTTTAGACATCAGAGTTTAATTACTACTATTTAAACTTGTTAACTGTTAGCTAGTTGGTTTTATTCTTCAATTGGTTTAATTAAATTTTGTATTTGTTTTGTTTGGAACTAATGCGGTGCCTATCGCATTCTTAAAACTAGCGCTTTTTTGTATTCATTTCCCGTTCAGCAGAACTATCTTGATGGCTGAATATTCATTTACTAAAACGTTGTAGAAATATTATCCATATAGATGGCCAATATATTACTAATTGGATAAATGTTTGTCAGTAGGATGCCTTGGTTACTTTATACCTCTACATAAATCAGCAGAACTGTTCCTCCAACCCAATAATAGTACTGGGCATTTGTAAATCTTTGCTTAACAGCTTAATTGGAAAGATGCTTTTAGTTACTGTTTCTACAAATACATTTGTTTATGAAGTCCGCAGAAAGCTTTACTTCATTTGTTTACCCGCTTCTTGATTCCAATTTCACAGTAGACGATGTGGACATTAAGCAAGGACACAAGTTTGCCGGTTGAGTAAAGACATTTTTCTGCCAGTCGGACGCTTACTGTTTAAATCAATCTGACGCAAAAAGACAAAGGAGAGTTGCGGATAGAATTACGTGTACGAAATTTCCAGGATACAGCGTAGTTATCCAGCTTCCGGATACATTTATTCATTCGATTTCATTGTTCAATAGCTGGAGGCTGTGTTTTTATTTTAAAAGAAGCTCTCTTTATCTGTCCAATCTACGGTGCTATGTGTTTATATGAGACAAGGGAAATATAAACTGGTCATTCCCGTTATCATTTCTGGCTTTAGGTGGGGATATTGTATCTTGATTAGATCTTCGACTCTATCATTCTGTAAATTTAACTTCAAAAGTTATATAAAAAGCTGTTAGTGAATAGTGTTTTTTATATGTTATCCTCAAATGTTTTGATGAACATCAGATACTTGGCACTGTGTACAAAAGCGGAGCTCAGGGTTAGTAATTATTATATTATAAAATTTCATCTTTAGAAAATAAGAGTAAATCATTCATTACTGATGGATAATGGATCCGAAATTTGAGTACCAAAAAGATATAATAAGTTCCAAATGTGATCTTGTTGACTAGATAGATAGTAGTGCGCAAATCTGAAATCTCAATTTACAAATGGAATTGCAATCTGTCAGTTGCCGTTGCAATTACATAACAAAATGTGGCGAGTCATCAACTGTTGCAACTTGACAGTAACAATTTGACTAGAATGCAAAGGGTAACTTTATGATAGACGTTGATACATTCTCGACGTTCGAAATTATGATAACTAATTATAATATCGACAGGCACATATGAATGGCTGATGCTGCATTACTTTGTGTCTAATGAAATGCCCTTTGTTCCAGCCCATCGGAGGATGAAGACAGTTACCAATTACTTCCTAGTCAATTTGAGCATGGCAGACTTGCTCCTAACTACACTCAACTGCATGTTCAATTTCATCTATATGATACAAAGGTAAGGGGGTGTTGTGTTATGCTACGAATATCGATGCAGCAAACTGTTAGTCGCTCTTTGTTCCATGTACAGTCTGCTAAAACCAAATATTCACTAAGTTTCGCCTAATAGACAAGTTTAAACTTTAATTCAGCTGCTTGGCGACCAGTGATGGGCGTTTACGCGTATACATTAATTGTCTACGTCTCGATGTATACAAAGGATACAATGTATACATTGCGTATACAATGAATACAATGTATACAATGATGAAGACAATGTATAGAATAACATAAGTGAGGTTAGGTTTATTCGCAAACGTCAGAAATTTGGGAAACAGTGAATCGACAACTTTAAAAAAATTTTGGTTGGACGCTCCAAGAACAAAGAAATCGATGAACTATAGTTCATTTGTTGTTCTTAATTTATTTGAAACTGTATCTTTGTATACGTATATAAATGAATATTAGATATATATTTTTTCATTATTTATAAACTGCTTCCACAGTCAAACCAATAATGCAATGCTGCAGAATTTGTATCTATCCTGACCTTCCAGTTCCACCTAAAATTGGAGAACCATTAGGATCAATCTGGAATTGATCTCAAACAGATTCGACAGAAATGTGTATTTGAGCGTAGAAAACAATGCGTTGCAGCAAGTTACAGTTGTGTCTTTTGGCCCTCTTGACTGTTGTGCCAGGCAACGTGGTGTGTGGCGCACTCTTTCCACACAAGTGGTGCCCGCTTGTCCCCTCTCTCTCTCTTCCTCGTACACATGGAAGTCTAAAAGGGAAAGGGACTTTCGCCAGCACTATATGCAAGTAGTTGACCTATGCTTTGCTATTGTATACATTATATACATTTTATACTTTGTGTAGGTGAATATCGAGACGTATATATTCTCCATTGTATACGCATATACAATGGTGTATTATACATGGTGTATACAATGCGCTCATCACCGTTGGCGTCCTCAAAAATTATAATTTTTAGGCGAGTCCTTAAACATTGAATATACCCATTTTTAGGTCCTTTCACGCATTAAATCGAAAACGGATAGCTTTAGAGAAAAGTTAATGGTAACATTTTTTTCTTGGGATGACAAAAAGACAAAATAAAACAGTCCAGTCAAAAAAATTGTAATTTATTTGAAAAAATGTATAAACGTTATTGATCTGGTTTTTATCGTGTGGATGTACTTAATGCTTGAATACTCGATTGAAAATTATAGTATTTTAGGACGTCAAGTGACTAAATTAGAGTTAAAACCTTGCTCTACAAGATCCTGAAGAGTATTTTGAGAGTAATTCATGTTAAGGCAATTTCAACCTTGTCTTCCAGGCCAAAATTGACGAACTTTTAGTTCTCGCAGACTGTATAGGCTAGTTCTAAAAGTACCAATGATACTGCTATTGATACAGTACGAACAGTTCTTGTAAATATTAGTTTTAAGAGATACCCTGAGAGGATAGGCGAAAACGTAAATAACTTATATTTAACTGATTTGTTTCTCCAATATCTTCAAAATGAATTGAAGTACATAGATCAATTTATTTCAT